TAGAAAACACCGTCTGCACAGAGGTACAAATGAACACGTATACACAGATTGAAGAAAAGCGTGTGGACAGACAGATGTGTATTCAAGGCCGCTCGGATCTGCGTGTGTCCCTTTGATTAACTCCAAGTAAACAGCCCGTCTTTGGAAAAGCAAGACACACTTTTTCAAGACCCGAGTATGGACCCCAAGCTGAGGAATGAATATTGAATGTTATTGATTGGGAGGAGAGGAGTTTGACCTCCCCCAGCACACACTGCCCCCTACTGTCTGGATTTATATACATCAAAAAAATAAGGGGAGGGAAGGGGGGGTTGCAACAACACATGCACACAACCAGAGAATCCAACAGTGACGGAAATTCTAAAAACAAGGACCCCTCCAATGTCTATAACCCAAATCTTCCCACCCTTCTTTTTTTTAATTGTTAATTTTGATAACCAAAATATCCCCCTCCCCTTCTCCACCCACTCCCAAATCTTTCCATCCTCCTCTCCCCACAAAAATCACAGGTCATTCCTGTTGGTTTCTATACAGTTATACAATATCCATGCACAAAGGAAAAAAAAGCACCTTCTTCTCAATAGGAGGTGCTGGTCTTTAATATTCTAAGAACATCAGGAGCACTTGAACACACCCAGGGACCTTCAAAAGTAACTGTGAAACTCTTTTCTTTCCTGTTTTCCTTTTTTTTATATTTTTTTTCTTTAGAGAAAAGACAACTTAAAGGCAGAAGAAAGCTAACACTGAATGTAAGACTATTCCTCCTTTGGTTTAACATGATTTTTTTTTTTTGGTTATAATTCAGGTCAAATTATATTTGCTCGTTAATTCTTATTTTCGTCGATTAGAGCTTCAAATCTAAACACGTAAAGCTCGACTCTTTCTATCCTAACCTTCATTTCTGTCTCTTCTTTTCTCAGCTAAACCTCCACAGAAACATTCACAATGTCTTTTCCTTTTTATGAAAACAGTAAGTACATGCCGTAGCAAAAACAAAAAAAAAAAACAAGTACAAGAAAAATAAGCAAAAAAACGGATAAAAGGAATTTAACAGTATAAAGCTTCAAGTCACAAGTTCCAAAACTAACTATCATAGTATCATAGTTTCATAATCATTGTTATCATTAGCAGTATTATTTTCAGTTTAAATTACATAAAGTTTACATGAAAGGTTTTTGAGGTATTTCAGAATTAAATTGTCAACACACGCCTACCGAGTCTGAGCACTAGCCAGGGGGAAAAGTTGTGTGGACGGATGAGGTGGAGGGAGGAGTTGTGTCTTTAATAAACCAGTGAGTGTTCCACACTTTTCCAGTGCAGCCTCTGTGCTTGCACGCAGTGGACAGAATGGAAAATAATGCTAAACGTTGCCCTGGAAGTGTTTCAAGCCTTGGCCTGCTTTTACCCCTCTCTTTCTATGTTACACAAAAATATCTCTGACGAGAAAGGTAAAGCGGCTGAGGCCTTGAGCACGCCTGGCAGAAAGAAAACAAATAATAAATAAATGTAAAAATAAAACCGTGAGCTAGCAGATGAAGGACGACAACAGACTGAAAGACGAAGCAGTTTCGCTTCAAACAAATAGTGTATAGAAAATGTTTTATAGACTTTCTACATGATAAAGTGCTTGTATTCTAGTGTATCAAGATGGAAAGTCAATATGGGAGAAAATGCTGACACAGCCCCCACTCTGTGTCCCTCTCTTTAGCCCCCCCTCGTTCTGTCCATCCAATTATGGGAGCATTGTCTGAGTTTGAGTGCATGTTTGCGAGCGTGCAGCTATGTGTGTGTGTGACCAGTGCAGTCCCACCCGTGGTTGAAGGGAAAAGGCACTCAACTCTGTCTGCAAGGCACCACCTCCTCCTATGTGGCACGCTGCAGTCTGACTGCACTGTTCAAACAGATGTAATGAGTGTGTGTTTGAAATAGCAGTTTTGGGCAAAGAGAGGTGTTTGTGTCCTCCCCCCCCAGGCAGTTTGAGACAGGTAGGCTGCAGTATCTTTGGTATCAGTGGCGGTTTCACAAACCACTCAGCTTAGTGAGGTAGCCACACTGGTTCTCACTACAAACAAATGTCATTTTGTCAGCTTGAAACCTAGAAGTGAATCTAGCCGTTTGCTCACTGAACTGTGTACACGTCGATTTGAGCTCATCTTCCTTTGGCGACATTAACCCACTGCTTACAGCAGCACAAAGTTAGTCAGTGCCTCTCGATCAACTCCTCCATAATGACCATTTCTTATCTAATCTTTACCGCTAATCTGACTACATTGTTGGAAATGCTACAGTTGCATCTTAAGACCACACAGATAACTATTGAGCCCCCTACCCCACCCTAATGCTCCTTCCAACAGAACATACTGAGTCAGCCAGGACATTCGGAGGTCGTGTTTTGTCCCCTCGCTGGTTTTGTTGTTTTTGGTTTGTTGTGGCCCCCGTTGTTGAGGTTCATTTTAAAGGGAGCTGAGAGTACCACAGTTCTGAAAGTGTCCCATCATTTACTCGTCTCCTCATCCTCAGCTGCTCCCCCTGTTTCTTCACCCCGCCCCTCTTTGTTGTGGCAAAAGTCTCCTTCAAGTCTGTATTCACACAGAATGGAAAAAAGAAGAAGAAAAGAGCGTGTTCTTCATCAGACTAAGGCCTTGCATCCCGTCTTGTTTTACTTTTTAAAAGTCCTTCATTTTTTTTCTGCTTTTTGATGCATCAACAAGGTGCCTTACGTCTGCACAACAGAGCACAACAGTAACAAGAAATAGAAACTTTGTGTCTATGGTACTAATTAAATACCCGCATCAATATAGAGAGGAAGAGAGAAGGGTCGAGGGAGGGATAAAGGAGGTAGAGAACCAAAGATTGGATGAAGAGGTTTTCTTCCGCTTCAAAATGTGTCCACTTTTGTGTTGGAGACATGTTTCTGCTTCATTTGTAACACATATTTTATATTTATCATTTGACGTTTTCACCTAGAAATTTTCTTTTTTTTTTTTTATATTTATTTATTTTTTCTTTGCTAAAAACAAAACCAAAAAAAAAGCTGATTGTTGGTTGCTATGGCACACACTGCCCATCATCAGCGGGGCATGCTGTGTGTTAACCCTAGTACCATATTCTCTGACTCACATTAAGGCAGTAAGCATTGGCACTATTTGTTGTGGCGTAGTAACAGTTAAGTATGGTAACGTTAGGATTAGCTGATGATTTCTCTTTTTGTGGTAATAATCAGAAGGTTTGCTTAAAATCGCATCATTTGAAAGATTTTTTTTCAAACAGTTTTTGCTGTAAAACAGATGAAAGATATTTGAAAAAAACAAAAAACAAAGCCTCCTATAACAACCAAAAATAAACTTGTCACCATTCTGCTAATGCCATTTTTCTCATATGTGTCCCTAATTCACTTATTTAATCTTGCCATTTTATTTATTTATTCATTTATATATGCAATTTATTGATTCCTACCAGAATAATCCCCTGCCTTTTGTTAAATCCCTAAATTTTCAGCATTCAGTTCGACCCCCCCACCCCCCACCCCCCTTCCTCCTCCTCCTCCTCCTCCTCCTAGCTTCACCGGCACTGGCTGGATGAGGAACAACAATAGGATAATGGTTAGCTATTGATCTGCCTTCAAAGAGCGGCGAGGGCCTGAATGTGTTGTGCCATGACTTCTTCTCAGCATCCAGTGGCTTCCCCCTTCCTCCTCCTGCTCTGAACCCATTTGCTCTGCTGGTTACAGGTCTCTGTTGTCCACAACAGGGGGCACTGTTGCTCTGTCAGTGCAGGCTGGACTAGGATGGAGTGGTGTGCTTCTTGCTCCTGCTGCTGCTGAGGCCTTTGTGTCCCCATCTCCACTGGCTACTGTGTGCTCCTTTGCTTTAAATATGCAGCTGTAATGTAGCTGGCTGGACGCCCGAGTGTGTTGTTGTCATTGTTCGGTTCTCCGCTATCGATTTCAAAAGTCAGCTCCCAGAAGAACAAAGAGCATGTCCAGACATCTCACCTGCCTCCCCCTGTTGGTCGGAGAAACGCAGACTCCGGCTAAGAGGAGCCACAACACATCTCCCTGCAGGCCTCTGACATCTGTGCAAAAATATAACCTGGGCCTGGAAGACCTGAGGATCTCCTTCCGAGCATCTTGAGTTTCACCTTCAGGAGGGGTCAAGGAGCCACATTCTCCGTCTGCATCGATTCATTTTTCAATTCATTAGTTCGCTGTATGATCAGGCTGAGCTGCTCTCTGAAATGGCTGGCCATCAGGGAATACCTTCGGCTGAGGAATGAAGGAGACTACAGGAGAAAGAGGGAAGGTCAAGGCAGGGGACTGAAAACATAAATAAAGCGTTGTTGTTTTTTCATAGGCTGTGTTGGTTTCTTTATGATGACCTTGTGTGTGTGTGTGTGTGTGTGTGTGTGTGTGTGTGGGTGTGTGTGTGTGTGTGTGTGTAGGAGAAGGGTGGGGCGCTGATAATAAGGCTATGTGCAGTTGTCTTGTCAGATTTATTGCCGTTCTTTCGCCCTTGTTGGTTCCTTGTGCCGGCGTTGAGAGGTTGTGATGAGGAGGCAGACACAAAGGTGAGCTGAGCGAAAAAGCCGTATCAGTAGCTACTTCGAGTGACGACGAAGGAGGCTGACAAAATGTAAATACCGATCCAAAAAAAATTAAAAGAGTTAAAACAAAAGATCAAATCTTTGGTGTCTCTTTGCTTCGTAAGATGTCTTAGATTTTTTTTTCTTCTCAAAATAAAGACAAAATCAATGATTGTCCTTGTGTGAGAAATGCAAATTGGACCTGACTACACCCCTCACCTCTTGGATTATGCTTCTTCAGGTGAGAGTTTGGCGTTTTGACCGACAAAACAGATGATTGCATGGCACAGAAGATTTTTGCAGGCAGAGGGCACATTCAGACAGTCCAGGCCAGGTTGAGACAGGCATCACTGCCAACTTTCTATGACGCCTGCTGTTCTGGCCTGGTTCCCCAGCCCTCTGAAGGCCTCCTCCTCCTCTCAGGCCTTTGAGAAGGTGGTAGTGGATGTGCCCGGCTGCCCTGGGCTGGTACCATGGTCATCGTGCCAGCGGTCTACGCAGCGGCGACGTGCATTCATGAAGAAGTTGCTGACGGTGCTGAGCTCCAAGCCCAGCTGCTGGGAGATGGTGATCTGCATTTCCTTGGAGGGACGCTTGTTCTCCTTGAAGATGGCGATGAGTGTGCGCCGCTGCAGGTCGGTGAAGACCAGACGCTGTTTCTTGGGCGCTGTGTTGCGGTCCTTGTGTTGCTCCTGCTCTTTGCGCTTGCAGGCTTGGTGTGGGTGGCAGCGGTGGGACGAGAGGGGGGAGAGAAAACAAAGCAGAAAGTAAATATGCAGTAGCAATTGCTTTCGGTGCCACAAAAACCAAGACAGCGTGTGGAGGGAACTGACGGCAAGTACTTAAACACATAAAAGTAGTTTATGCAGCAGCAGAGATGCTACAGCTCTATCTCTATTGCCATATTAAAGTTGATTTAAAGCTAATCCATGCCTCCTTCCCAGTGGGAATATTCCTTCCATCCTGCAGAGTGCAGACAGGGAGCCAGCCTGCGGTGAGAGAAGGATGGGGGGGGGGGGTGCATGGCAGCGGGACTGGCTGTTGCCTGCTAGCTGGAGACACTGCTGTTTGATTCAATATTAATGCAGTTTGAGTCGCAATGGGGGACTGAGTGACTGTTGCACAAAAGTAAGCATTTTGTGTTGCTTTGTGTGTGTGGGGGGGGGGGGGGGGGTAAACTGGAGACAGAGGAGACGAGAAGAGAAAAGATGCAGGAGTGAGACAAAGTGTGTGTAGCTGTGTGTGTAAGAACTAAAAAGAGGAGCTGGGAGGAGGAGGGAGGGGCGGCATGTGAAGGAGAAAGCGAGATATTGACCGACTTGCTGTAGGAATTGAGGGGGGGGGGGGGGGGTTCTGCAGGGACCGAGGTCAGATCCCCCCCAGCAGGTCTACAGTCTGCTACTTCAAACACAGCCCACTGGAGCCCACTCTGAGAGGGTATTTATAAACCCTCGCAACACCCCCTTTTCATGCACACACCCTCCCCAAACACAAACACTTTGAGAGGCGCTCGCAGTAGCTGCTATGAGCCCCTTCCTACACACAGAGCAATGTTCAAAAGAAAGCTGCACACTCTTACGTTTGGGATGGTGGGGGATGAGGGGTGGGGGGAGTGGGGTCCAGCCAGGTGATGGGGTTGTGGGCAGACAACACTGAAATTAATAGTTAATACAGTGTTGTATTGTGGGTAAGTGTAACTCCAAGTGTTTGATGGAGACCTGTGGAAAACAGCAGACAGGTAGAAACTGCACCCAGAGATATGGGAGGGAGGGGGGGAGGGGGGCATGAATGGTTCAGGCACCACCTTTACAGCCACATGTTCCCCCTGCTGACGGAGGATCGAATCCTCCCAGAACAGTCTGCACGTCCCACTCTGCTTCCCCACCGTCTCAATTAAAAGAGTTCAGACTGGAGAGATGCTGGGTCTCCTCCTGCTTTCACTCCTCCTCCACTAATGTCTCACTCTCACGCTGTGTGTCTGTGCGACTTGATGCGTTTAAGGATGGATTACTTTTTTTATTATTTCTTTTTTTTTTTTTTTACTTTTATTCTGTCCCTCTGCGTGTGTGCGTCCGTGCATGTGTGTGTGTGTGTGTGTGTGTGTTTGCAGGGTGGTAGTGATTATGCTGAAGTGGCTGGAGCCAAGCAGTGGCGCTGTGTGTCTAATTACAGTGGAACAGAGCCCATTGATCAGCCATTGCAGTCCAATCTGTTTACTACAGATGTCTAACCTGCACACTTGCACATCCATCATCTTCATATTTCAAATCAACGCTGGTGCTGTGCATGTCACGCACTGGGACACATGCTAATATGCCACACAAAAGTTTGCCCAAAACACACTTGTCTGTGCACAGAATATATCATCGTGTACTTTGATTTATTAAACGCTTATATATGAAAACCAGAAAAAAAAAGCAGCTTAGTGGTGTTATTTATTATTTGGGCTATAAGTATAGATGCCAGAAAAAAAAGTTGTATACACTTTTTATCAAAATAGTTATCTGATTAGATCGCAAAGATATTTTGCTCAAATTCAATTTATTTTTATGACTTAAGAAACCCTGTATTTTCCTATTTCTGGTGACATTTAGCTGCAAACACAGACCCGACTAAATACCACCTGCTTATTCCCAGTTACAAATATTGCAGGCTCTCTTGCATAATAGATTTTTTTGCAAATTGATTGTTTTTGTCAGCCATCGATACAACAATAATCTATAATCTGCTCCATCTCAGCTGCCAAGAAATGTTAGTAATTTGCTTTTTAAAAAATGAAGTCGGCTCACGCGTTTCATGTTGATCTAATTTAAACACTTTTTCTTTTTTTGTAATTACTCTCACCAAAAAAAAAAAAAAAAAACTTTATAGCCTTAGCTTTTTTTGCAGGGCATAAAACTGAAGGCAGGTGGAGCTTCCTGAAGACAGTTCACTTCTTGTCTGGGCTTTCTAAGTTCACTGATTTGGATTTTTTTTTAAAGTTGGATGAGAAGCTAAGCATCAGAAAAGAAGTCCACCTGCAAAGGATCCTGAATAATAGAACACTTCTTTTTAATCCAGACATGAAGATCCATGAGTTCCACATTTGGGTGCCGGATCACACTGATCAGAGAGAAGCTACCGCCCTATACAACCATCAGAGACACGCCAGCCTGTCTGGATCAAACTTGAGCCCATGAGGATTTGTTTCCCAGCAGGACGGTGAGCCTAAACGTCGCTGCTCCACCAGGCCCTTTGGAAGCACAGGAAGGAGCTGAGGAGATGAAGTGAGGGACATACCAGACCATACTGAACATGACAGCAGTGAATAAATGAGCCATAATGTGGAGATGCTCAAGAACAAAATTCATTATCTGGTAAAATTAAACACAGTCATCACAACAATTGAAAAATGTAAAGAAATATTAGCTGAGTCCCGTTTTAAAATTAGTATGCGTGACTTTCCCATTGGACTTGTGCATGCAATTACGTTATACCCATCTTGTGTAGAAATGTGCTTTTTGTTATAGTATCATTTACAGATTCGACTCGACTCTGTTCTTGTTTTTGGTACAGCAGCGTTGGTATTAATATAAATATCATATTGTGTGTTTATCTCGTTTATTTCATGCAGTTGGCAACTGAGATTATTTTGTCCAAACACACACACAAAACACACAAAATTCCTGAACCTATATTATAATTATATTGCAAATACTTTAATTAGTTTCACATACTCAATTATTGATTTTTTTTTAAATGCATAAATTATAACAAGCTGAATTTTAGCTCATGTGATTTTTTTGTTTTGCTGTCCCTTTAATAGAAGTGGCAACGTTTGATGAGAAACGTGGACGCTAATATATGAGTACATTTGTTTTAATTATGTCATGTTAGTGAAACGAACTAAAGATCAGTATTTTATGAATAATTTACAAAACTATTAAAGGAAGGGTTCCCAAAGTTGCAGCTCTCTGTGGGTGATGAAAGTAGTGGTTTAGTCTACACGATACGCCGGCATACAGAGTATATCCACTAGAATTTCAGAAAAGTGCCCAATGATACATGACATATCATTAGGCACATGTCATTGATATGTTAAATGACAGTTAAATGCTTCTGTATTAATTTATCTGTATGCAGCGAATGTACGCTTATCCAGTGAATCATTTAATACTTACTTAATACTTGAACATGTTTTGCTTTGATACTGTTTTATAAATTTTATAACGTTTTTAATACAAAGCCGAATGCTGTACAAAGTTTGTTGTTCATTTATTCAAATGTAAGCATCAGAGAAAATTGGAAATGTTCATTATGCTAAAAACATCAAAATAAATTGACGATTGCATTGTACTGACCAGTGTAATTTGGTTCACAGAACAAATATGTAGACTGCACCACTGGATAAAAGGTCTTGAGATGACCTGCAGATAATATCTAATAAAACTTGTAGTAATAGCACATTTGTGACATAAATGTTGCAAAGTACAGAAGACAGCAGGGTTGTGTCATTGTTGTATTTTGTGTTCAAAAACCACAGCTGTCAGGTTGTTTCCAGACAAGTTTTGGAACCACTATCTTTAAATTATCAATTTAAAAAACACAATGTGCACGTGCTCTGTAAGATTTTAAATGATTTCCTGCTAAAAGCCCAGATGGCAGTCAGTGTCAGTCTACAAACAGGCCTCCACAACCTGCTGAAACGTTCCCATCCGCTTTCCCCACCTTCACGCAGCGCCTCGCTGCCGGCAGGGGGCGCTCTCGTCTCGGGGCGCCACAGCGCACTGCCTTTGCTACAGGCGCTGGATTTACTAATCGATATCGATCGATCGGTGAGGAAGGGGGCCCTGATTACTGAACCGAGCTCGGCGTAGAAAAGAAAAAAAAATCAATGATTGCAGCTTTTAGAGCTACAGTAGGCACCGAGCAGAGAGACTGGAAGAAGCTCGCGCACAAAGCGAAGCGGACGAGAGTAAGAAATCCTGGTTCGGTGCTGCAGAGTGTTTTCTGAGGTGAACATCCTGCTGTTAGCAGAGAGGCTGGGATTTATAAAAAATAATAAAAAAAATAATAAATAAAAAAAACTGCTATGGATCTGTGAACAGCAGCTGGAGCTGCTTTGAATGGATTCCTCGAGCTCTGATTGATCAACACGTTTATCCGGCACTGTTTTTTTTTTTCGCTACACACACGCGCGCGCACGCACACACGCACAGTGCATCTTAAATAATACCGCAATAATATTTAAGAAAAAAATAATAATAATTTCCTCACAAATTCACAGACACGTCTGGGATTCATTTCACTTTATTGTCGTATCTATGATTGAAAAGAACTCGTTACCTTTTTTTATTCATGTGACTTCTTTTCCACTCGTGACATTAATATTCTTCCCTTCACGACAAAAACCAAGCGAGGTTAAGAGGAGAGGCCCTGGCTGATCGATATGGATCGATAGATTCGTGAATAATTCGTGTGTGAAATTCAGTCCGTCCAATTAATTATATCTCGAAGTGTGCGTGAGCGCGTGCGTGCATGTGTGTGTGTATGGTGGGGGAAGGAACACAATAAAATAAATTCAAAAATTAAAAATGAGGAGGAATGGATTATAATTCTTTTCTTTTTTTTGTCTGTTTAAATCAGATGGAGTGTCATCCATTTCGGGTGTGTGTGTGTGGGGGGGGGGGGGTCCATCTCGAGCATTAATCATGTATTGATCAGTGCTGCCCT